TCAACTAAAAGAAAATAAATGAAAGAAAGTGAAAAAAAATAGCATGCTTCAGTCTGTATTCAGTCAATATCATTTCTTTCTCTGGAGGCAGATAGTATGCTTCATCATTAGTTCTTTGGGATTGTCTTGGATCATTATATTGCTGAGAATAGCTAAGTCATTCATAGATCCTCATCAAACAATATTGCTGTTACTATGTACAAAGTTCTCCTGGTTCTTTTCACTTCACTATGCTTTTCTTTTCACTTCACTATGCTTGTGTCTTTTCGGGTTTTTATGAAATCATCCTGCTTGTCGTTTCTTATAGCACAGTAACATTCCATTACAATCACATACCACAGCTTGTTTAGGTGTTCCCCAATTGATGGGCTTCCCTTTGATGTCCAATTCTTAGCCACTACAAAAAGAGGTGCTATAAATATTTTTGTACAAATAGGTCATTTTCCCTCTTTTTGGATGTCTTTGGGATATAGACCTAGCAGTGGTATTGCTGGATCAAAGGATATGCACAGTTTTATAGACCTTTGGGCATAGTTGCAAATTGTTCTCCAGAATGGTTGGATCAGTTCACAAATTCACCAACAGTGAATTAGTTTTCCTACATCCCCTCCAACATCCAACATGTTCCTTTTTTGTCATATTAGCCACTCTGATAGGTATGAGGTGATATCTCAAAGTTGTTTTAATTTGCATTTCTCTGATCAATAGTGCTTTAGAGCATTTTTTCATGTGGACAGAGATAGCTTTAATTTCTTTGAAAACTACCTGTTCATATCCTTTCACCATTTACCAATTGGGAAATGACTTATATTTTTATAAATTTGATTCGTTCTCTATATATTTGAAAAATGAGATACTGTTGCAAAAATTTCCCCCAGTTTTCTGCTTTCTTTACAATTTTGGTTACATTGATTTTGTTTGTGCTAAACCTTTTGAATTTTATATAATCAAAATTATCTGTTTTACATTTTGTAATGCTCTCTATAGCTTCTTTGATCCCAAGTTCTTCCCTTATCCATAAATCTGACAGATAAATACCCAACCTGATGGCACTACTCTGAGGGCTTTAATTCTCCCAGGATGAGAAATGAACTTGAGGATGTTAGATAGCAACCAAGCCTCTTCCCATTGGATATGAACTTTCTATATAAATCACAAGATAAGTCCAGGTCTTTTTCTCTCCCATGTTATGGAGTAGACTTCTCTGCTTTTCCTCAAGCTTCAGGGGCCAGATACACCATCCTTTTCTCTCTCTAATTGGCTGTCACTCACTGCTCAGGAATGCAAGTTTTAATACTTGCCATTGGCCAATCTTTCATAAGTGTTTATTCTTTTTGTGACCAGTTTTTATTTGAACTTGTAATGGTTCCTCATTTTTTATTTTATAATTTAGAAGAGAATTTATATGAGGCTATTTTGAGGAGAGACCTTCATAAACTTTAAAGTGCTATATAAATATAAGCCATTTCTATTATGTGTTATGCTCTCAAGTGAAAATGCTTTTAAAAGTGTAAAGCCCTTGTGAAAGGCTGGATTCCAAGACTCTTGAATTTGGGGCTGCTAGTGAGGCAATCCTAAGGTTACTGCTGACCAGCAACTCTTCATTTCTCAACCAGAAGGCTAGATTCTGGGATCTTGCTACTCAGGAAATTTCCCCTTCCCTTACCCAAGAAGCTAGGATTCAGGAATGTTCAGTATGCCTCTAGAAATCTCAGGCTTAAGAACTCTCACCACTTTGACTATGGTTACCATATTGTTGAGAACATGTATGCCTCTACCACAGGCTTTCCAGGGCTAGGTCCAAGGAGTGAGGTCCAGGAACACAAATCTGTCTGCTGACATTTCTGGGGTGGGGGTGGGGGAGTGAGAGGGATGGAAAGTGGTGGTTGGTTAATGCCTGAAGTTTCAGGGAATATGCTAAAAGGAAAAAAAAAAAGGCCAGAGATTGAGTGTTTACTTTCTTGTATAGTGAGCAGAAAGGGGGTGGAGGATGGTGGCTTTTCCCACCAGTTTATCCCCCATGATTCACTATGAATTCAGAAAGGGTCAAATGGTCTTGTCACCTCTCTTCCTTGGGAGATGTTATCAAAGGTTAACCAATTCATAAGCTTAATAACATGCTGATCAGACAACTTTCCTAATCAACTCCTTATAGAGTGTACAAAAATTTGACATAGAAAGCCTGGCATCAGTTTCTGTCCTCCAGCCCTCAAGCAGCCATAATAAGAGAGAAGTATTCTAATGTCTGGGTGTTTTGTTTGTTTAATAGATCCTCTAATAAAATTCTAATATGATGTGTCATCTTGGCTAGGAGGTCATCCAAGATTCTCAAAGTCTATGCCAGTGGAGAGTGAGCCCTTACTTGCTGGAGAGACTAAGGGTATGGGCTATACACATGTGTTTATGTACCACTGTTCTAGAGGAACTAGTTGACAGAAACTCTATTCAGAAAGCCTTATCATCAGGTTGGGAATAGAATGATGACTTTTTTTTTTTCAGTCATGGCTTTTATTGATCTACCATCTACCACCTGGTAAAGCATTAGAAGAGTTGAGATCTGGGTTGGTAGAGGGAAGGCTTACAGAAATGAAATAATAGATCACTGAAGTATTTACCATATATTCATGTTCCCCCTTCTTAAGTTTCTAAAGTGAGTGGGTTGACAATTTTTTCTTTCTTAAAGAAAAGTCTAAATGGGACAAATGGCTCTTTGTGTGTGGTTGTTCTTTAACTTTTTCGTTTGGGTCAGAGACCTTCCCCTACCACCCCACTTTGTGTAATTTAGTTTAATGACTTACTTTCTTTGAAGAATATTTTAAAATTTAAAGACACAGGGGATCACTTAGTCCCTTGAGCCAACCAAGTCTGGAGGAATGTCTCAATAACCTTGTAAAGAGCTTAACCTACATTAGGAAGGGGTTAAAATATTGCTACTACCAGAGTAGGGGAGAAAATTCTGATAAGCAGTAGACCCTCCTGCCTAGCCCTCTTCAGTCTTATCAGTGACTATTCCACTTATATATCTGGCTTGTTTTGGCATCCTTTTAAAGATGTATCTAGCCCAGGATGGATGATGAATAGAGGTGATTCCTGGTGGAAGTCATTCATATTCTGTTAATGTCAGGAGAAATAGAGAAAGGTCTTTAGGCAGTCCGTGTGCGTTGAATTGCAGGAGGAAATGAAGGAATCCTATGTCGGATAGGGATGAGGTGGCATCCAGCATAATCTCCATTATTGGAATAAGTATATTGAGAATATAGATCCATTTGAAGTGTGAGGGAAGAGTCCTACTGCTGCCCTACTCACATGATCATAGACTGAGAGTTGGAAGGGGTCTCAGAGGCCATGGAGTCTAGTTTCTTCATAGATGTCAACTCTCCACTAAGAGTGCCTGGGTGTGTGATGGGGAAACTGAGGCACATAGAGGTCAAATTGACTTGCCCAAGGTCAGACACCTAATAAGTGCCTGAGGCAGGATTTAAACTAAGGCTTTCATGACTTCAAGTCTATTCTCTATGCACGCCCCCATCTTGGCAGTGTTTGATAAGTCCAGTTTTTTTTTTGTATACCAGTTTTTATTTTTAAACAGAAATGGTTCCTTCTATTCTTAAAAACAAAAAAAAAAAATTTAGACAGGCTTATTGTGAGGGTTGTATGCTCCCTCATGAAAATGCTTTTGAAAAGTCTTATTATGCCAGGTAAGGTGGGAAGAATGTACAGTATAATGGGAAGGACACTAGATTAGGGATTTAGTCCTAGTTTTGTCACTAATCTGCCTGTTCAACCTGGGCAAATCATTTAACATCTTTGGACTTCAGTATTCATAAGATCAGGGCTTTTGGCTAGATAATCTCTAGTATCCCAGCTAGCTTTATAATTCTATGAGTTGAGTCGCTGTGACATATTATTCCTGTCAATGCTCAGCCCAGTCCTGTAGCACACACACGCGCGCACACACACACACACACACACACATTTCTGTTCTCTCTTTGAAAATGGGGCTCTAACCGTGTCTGCATTCTCCATGTTATGAGGAGTCAACCGGGACAAATTTATAAAAAGACTATGTCCCCCTCTGGGTACTGAAATGGAACTATAAAAATAGGAGGGTTATGCTTATTTATAATAATATATAATCCCATCTGTGGGAAGGAGGGCCCTGGGGACAAACATCTGTGCTGAGGCTGAGGAAATACATGAAGGACACCTGCTAAAATTCCCCAAGGTGGGGCGGGATACACCTTTCTCAAACCCCGCAGGGGACAGACTACAGTTCGGAGGTAACTGCATCTTCTCTCCTTTCCAAAAAGAGGCGGGGAATATACCTCTCTCCCAGTCTGGGTGTGGGGAGGATCAACTTCATTATCTCCCCTTTTTCTCCTGCCCCCCATCCTCAATAGGTGTGTATATTGGGAAAAACGAGAAGGGCCAGCAGGTGGAACACGGGACAAGGAATAGGGGTGGTGGTCACCTAGGGGAGAATAACAGTGGGAGATCAGGGCAGTGGCTACGCTCACTGACCGCAGCGTGGAAGCTGGAGGCGGAGAGAAGGGTCTGAGCCTGTGTGTGTGTGCATATGTGTGAGTGTATGAGTGTGGGGCTGTTAGTGGTCGCGGGCCCTGGGATCCCCGGTCTCTGATTGGCTAAAATGGCGCCTCTCTCTGTTTCCATGTGGTAGGAGCTACCGCGGCACAACATTAAAGGAAGGGAAAGGGGGAGGGGGATGGGTTGTGAGCCAGCTTGAAGAAGGAGGAGAAGGAGATCTAGGGAACGCGGGCCCCGGGAGGGCGGATGCTGGCGGAGTCAGGGTAAACACTGCAGAGGGGCATAGGGGGAGAGAGGCCAGGGTGGGAGGTGCGGCCGCCGCCGCCGCTGCTGCTATTGCTGCACCAGCCCTTCCGCCTGCAAAGTCCAGCTGCTGCAGCTGTCCCCGGGATCCCCGCCTCCCCGCGCGTTTCCTTTCCTTGGCCGAGTTCCCTTTCCCTGCTCACGGGCGGCCCATGGAGCAGGGACCTGCGGCGGCGGTGGGGACGGCGGGGGCCGTCGGGGCAGCAGCTAACGCCGGTGCCCCTGCTGCAGTTGGAGCTGCGGCTGCGGGAGCCTTGTCGTCGGGGGCCAGCGCGGGCTACTGCCCGGTGCCCCTGCCCCTGAGTGACAGCGAGCAGCAGTGTTACTCCGAGCTCTTCGCGCGCTGTTGCTGCTCCTCCGCCTCCGCCACCTCCTCCTCCTCTTCCTCCTCCTCTTCCTCCTCCTCCTCTTCCTCCTCTGGACACCCCCAGCCACCCCCTGAGGTGGGCAGGGGAGCCCCGCTCCCCGGACCTGCAGCCACCGCAGGGGCCAACCAAGTGGGAGAGCTGTTCAGGGCATCGCAGCTGCCAGCCGAGACCCTTCACCAGGTGGGTGAGGGAGCGCCTCTGCTGCTTGCTCCGGGGGGCAGGCTGGCTGGAGGAGACCGGGGTTGGGCAGATGTGGGTGCTGGGAGGGAAGGGGGGCGAGAAGAGGACTCGCAGGGCACTGACGAGGCGTGGATGGGGCTGGCAGTTGACAGCGGAAGGTTGCTTGGGCTCGGACCCTCCTCTCCGAGGGGTTGGGGTTTTCGCTTTTCTTGCCCACGCAGATTCCCAAAAAAGTGCAGCTGCCCATCCCGAAGCACTCCACTTCTATGGAAAGGTTTTCGGTATTCCTTTCTCCTTCCACCGAACACTTTTTGGGAATTTCTTAGGCTTTATCTTGGATGGAAAGTTTGTTGGGTTGTGGGGGCGGTGATGGTGTTTTTTGTTTTTGTTTGCCTCTGCTAGTTTTCATTGGATTCAATCTCTCCTATCTTCTATTATCTCTTTTCTCCCTCCCGACTCCCCCCCCCCCCTTCCTTTTCTCCTAATGAACTTGGAAGACGAATTCAGAGTGCGTGGGAAGGGGGTGAATATTAACTGGGTGAGAAGCAATGCAGGAGAGGATGGGGAAATTTGAACTTGGAGAGGAAAGAAGGGGTGTGTGTCTATTTCTGTTTGTACAGCAGTATACATCAGACTTCCTCTATCTGGGTTCTTGAGCATTGTTACTCTTGAAAGTACACTAGAAAACCTTTATAGTGACTTTTCTTCAAGGGATTTAGGTATGAGTTGATGGTACAGAATTTTTTAAATTAAACTCAAACTTTTTGGGTTAAATTAAGTTAGTTGGAGGGAGATAGGGGAAGGCCGGGGTGTTGACTGATGGTAAGGTTTATATTTCTGAATTCTTGTTCCCACTTGGATACTCGAGTTTAAATGGATTGAAGTCTTCAGGAACATATGCTCCGCCTCTTTCTTTCTTTTTTTTTTTCTTCGTCTCTTTCTTTTCTGGTTAGACCTGGTTAAAGGCAGATTGAAAGAGCCCAAAGGCTTGATTTAAGTAATGGAATAAATGCCTATCGAGCACCTGTTTTTTTTGTTTTTGTTTTTGTTTTCCTCTGATTTTTTTTTTTGTTGTTCGGATGAAATAGTGCTATTTGAGCTCTGTGGATGTTTTGCTGCTGCCCACATTTAATGGTGTAGTTATCATTTTTAGCATCCAGCTGTGAACTTGAGAAGGGTCTCTGACATAAATACTGAATTTCAAAACTTCTAACATTAATTTGACTTTCATATATTCAGAATACTAAAATGAGTAGTGTTATGGATAGACAGTTGAATTTGCAACTCTGGTCACAAGGCAGATAATATCATGCAGATAAATAATCTTTCTCTTTTAAAAGTTTGTAGGTATGTATGGCACAGTTATGTCATTTATACACTGGTGTTTATCCAATCTTCCTTTAGCCAGGGGGGTAGGTCCTTTTTTTTTTCCATCTGCAAAATTCAGGATCATTTTTATATTTCAAAATTATTATATTAGTGATATTAGCAGTATTTTACACCTTTGCTCTGAGTTCAAATACAGCCTCTGATAATTACTAGCTGTGTGACTCTGGGCAGCTCACTTAACCTCTGTCTCATTTCCCTCATCAGTAAAATGGGGATTTTACTACTTCCCAGGGTGGTTGTGAAGAACAAATGAAATAATATTTGTAAAATGCTTAGCCATCAAATGAATAATATCTGTAAAGTGCTTAGCATAGTGCCTAGCACATAGTAAGCACTATGTTGATGCTGTTGATAAGGCTCTGATTGAGAGGCACTTATGTATAGTGAATAATGTGCTGGAGTCCAGGAAGATCTGAGTTCAAGTCTTGCCTTAAAATTTATTAGTTGTATGACCTCCGGCAAATCACTTAATGTCTGTTTGCCTCAGTTTCCCCAACTGTGAAATGGGGATAAGAATAGCACCTACTCCCCAGTGTTTTTGTGTGGAACAAAAGAGATAGTCATTGTAAAGCACTTACACAGTAAGCACTCTATAAATGTTAGCTGTTACTACTACTACTACTGCTGCTGCTGCTGTTGTTATTATTACTACAACTACTACTACTACTACTACTACTACTACTACTACTACTACTACTACTACCACTGCTGTTACCACCAACCCAAAATGGGCATTCTCTGATTCTTGTTGCTGGACTGATTAGGCTAAGAAATACATACTTTTTAATCTCCTTTTCCCACTGGTCTTAGGCAAGTCATTTTACAGGTAAGTAAACTGCCACCTGAAGTAAAATGACAACTCACCTCACTTAATTTAGTTATATGGATTCAAAGAATATCTTTAGAAAGTCACTTTGAGCCAATGGTGGGGGAGCCACTCTCTGAACACAGACCTTTATTATTAAATAAGGTAAGAATGCTTACCAAATCCTTATTAAATCAATTTGATAACACCCATAGGAAGCTGAGAAGTAAAATACTCTACCACCTTCTCAGTTAGCAGGGAAGAAATGACAGGACCAAACAAAGTAAGTCACACAGTAAGTCAGTGACAAAGTTGGGATGTTGTGGTGTCCAGAAATTCATGGTGTGATGGGTGGAGGTGGGAGTGGGGGAGGAAACATTAAATTCCACTATGTTGTTTATCAACTTTTTCCTTTTTAAGATGGGGGACTTTAAGGATGTGAGTGTCAAAGTTTAGAATCTGACCTATCAAGGTGTGTGGTTATAAAGAACCCAGAGCACTTTCTGTGTGAGTGGGCAAAGTCCAACTTCTTGATGACTGAAAGAAATCCAATTAGAAGAGATCTCTTGACCTCTCTCACGGGGCCATTTCTAAATAGATGTGGCCTGCAACACATATATGTGTCCATCTCCTCCACCTTGTTTTTTTTTTTTTTTAAAACAAAGCGAAGTTAGATTAAGATGACCATCAGGAGCAGTCATTTAAAGACAACAGCAACAAAAACTGGAAGTTTCCTCCATTTCTCCTGATTATTGCTTGGTCTGTTATAGATTGTTGCCCGTGATTTGCTTTACCCTAGGTGTGGCTCTTAGGATCCTAGTCAATCTATTAAGTGAATTTAGATATTCTTAATTCTTAACCTTTTCCTCCCATCAAATAGAAACCAATAAGGTCAGAATTAAGTGGAGGAACAGGTATGACTACTCAAAGCTGGAAGGCCTTAAACTTCTCAAGCCGTTTCCATGGCAACAGCCACTTCTCTCCCCCTCCCCCCAATCAGCATACAATTAAGATTAACATAATATTCTGGAGCTTTACCTGGAGAAAGTATTCATAGTACAAGAGACTTTCTTCCCTCTTCAAAATTGGTTATCTTATTGAATTTTGTGTCTCAAAGTAAAAATAAACCATATGCCTGTTATTTTATATAACATGTGCATCCCTAAAAAGTTATGTCTAAATTAAATTATAATTTAGTTGTCTTGGGGGAACTCCCATTTCAAAGAGACTCTTTGCTTAGTATCTTTTTAAATAAAGTAATACTGAGAAAATGAATAATCACTCACTTTGTCTTAAAGGTCAGAGTTTCTTTTCTCTCTCTTTTTTTTTTGGCAGATAAACCTGGCTATAAAAAAATGTAAAATGAAATAATTCTAAACCATAAAAATAAAATATGATAGCCTGGGAAATATTTGTTAGGAAGATTTTACTCTAATGTTTTAAGATAACAAAGATACTAGTTAGAATTTCTTGACATTGGTTGAGGCCTGAAGAGTAGGGAAAGACAGGTGAGTTTCAGGGATTTTTTTTGTTTTTTGTTTTTTGAAAGGGAGGCAGAAGGAGAGAGGCTCTAAATGAAAGTAGCAGGCAGTGTCAGTAAAAAGAACGACTTAGAGAAAGAAAGGAAAGCTGTTCCCAGACTAAGAAGTATTTGGGATATGTAGATAGCTTGATTCACCTCATTCAGTCCTTGACCAATTGTTTAACACAAGAGGCTCTATCCTTGCCTTTCTGTCAGGGACTCCTTTTCTCCCTGTTCCTTGCATCAGCCTACAGAACCAGTCCCTGTGGCTTGGTAAGGTAGACACTGTGTATTTTATACTGTCGTCCCCTTAATTTGCTTCTGATTTGCTTAGAACATAAGGCAGTTGTTTGTTTAGAATTATATTTTCACATGGTGACCATGCTATATACCCAGTAGTTAGGTGCCCAGGTGAAACCTATCCTGGCACTAACGTTATGTGACCTTGGACTTACCATTTAATTTCTATCAGCTTCAATTTCCTCATTTTGTAAAATGAGAAGAATTTTTGTGCTACTTATCTCACCTCCACATAGTCCTACTTTGGTCAATCGGTCCCTCATTAAGACATTTGGTCATCTACTAAGAGACCTCATGATAAGTATTTGTATAAAATAACACCATAAAATAATTGCAGCGTATATACGGGCAGCCATCTCAGGCCAAGATGAAGTTGAGAAATTCAACTTAAATCCCAACAAGACCTTTCAAATGAAATCAATATATACTTTGATACTTGGTGGGAAGGTGGGAGTGGATGAGCACTGACATAAATAGGTTGGAAAAGATAATGTCAGGAGGGGCAGCTAGGTGGCGCAGTGGATAGAGAACTGGCCCTGAAGTCAGGAGTACCTGAGTTCAAATGCGGCCTCAGACCAAACTCTTGACACTTACTAGCTGTGTGACCCAGGGCAAGTCACTTAACCCCAATTGCCTAAAAAGAAAAAAAAGATAATTTCAGGAGTAAGGAATGAAAAATGCTACAGCAGGGGCTCTTCACATTTTTGTGTGTGTCGTGGATCCCTTTGGAAATCTGGTAAAGGCTTGGGGATCCCTTCTCAGAATAATGCTTTTTCATGCATAAGATAAAATACATAGCATTACAAAAGAATCAAATTATTTTGAAATAGTTATCAAAATTAAAAAAAAAAAACTAAGTTCATGGACCCTAGGTAAAGATTGTAGACTCCATGGAAGCTTAATTAACAAACACATGCATAAACATATACAAAAATGCATAAAATATATACGTCTACATTTCTCTGAGAAAAGAATTGAAAGGTG